ATATATATATATATATATATATATATATATATATATATGCACGATTTTGTACATACGTATGTGTATAAATACTGATCATACTTAATGTGGGTTGTACCTAAAAATGTTATAGAAGGTCACGACAACTGCATGTTGGATTTCTTAAGTAATGACTTTAAATATTCATGTATTCTGTTTATTAAATCTCCACTTCTCTCATCGTATCTCTCGTATTCCCTTCTTTTCGGTGAGTATTTCTAAGATATGCATACCGTGATAGCATAATATCCGAGAAAACACATGTTTAACGTACATCCTATAATTTCCACGACAGATAAAATAAGGAAAAATTCACACCTTGTTAAAAAAATACAAAGTAGAAAGGCAGGAGCCAATCGCGCTGCTGCTCAAGTGATAGTTGACATTTTCTGCTTTTCTATTTGCATAATTTCATTTCATGTGAGATTAAATAATTAAGTAACATTTATTCGCAACTAATCAATCGATATATCGATCTATGCTACAATTTGCACGTTTTGGAGATATTTTACGAAGTTAATGTGCGTAACATGTTCAAGTAAGTAATAAATGTCTTAACCACCTATCGGTTAGAAGGAGAGACGACACGTAAATTATTTGACCGTTAATATATTTAATAATGCTATTGTGTAACTTACGTCACCAATAGTACTGAGAGACAACTTACAAAATAATTTCCGGCAGTAAGTTTGACGAACAAATTAGACATTGCGATTATTAATACGAGGGCAATACGAGGCCTACTTTCCTGATAGTCAATGCCAATCGATTATATACGATACCTCGCCGATCTTTTTGCACTGTTTACAAGATTACTTTTCTCATTTCGGAATTTTATTTGAAAGAATAATTTCAACCATAAGAAGTTACTAAAGAAAGTACTTCAAAGTAGGAAATAATGTTTTAATTACTCTAAATTGTGCATTAATTTATACATAAAAAGTTTATATCAGTGCAGAAGACCGCTTTGACTGTAAGCACTCTGCCTGTTTCGCAATAAGTTCGCCAATGTAACAGAATATGAAGAAATTGAACGTGAGAGATATAAGCAGAATAACGTATGTTACGCGAGTGACAGTGTCTATATGTTCCCATTCCTGCAACGTAAATGTCCTTATATTTCAAATATACTAAGCACATGAATCATGTGCACGCGCGGCTCGCGCGTCAATCTACAATATTATTCGAAACAAAACGCTGCGCTTTGCAGTACGTACTTTTCGCACAGTATGCATACCGTGATAGTACAATATCCGAGAAAACACATGTTTGACGTATATCCTACATCCTTCCCATGACAGATATTTCGGGCAATACCTTGTCCGTTAGCGATATGAAACTGGAAGACAAGTGCCATTGTAACGCGCAGGAGGAATTTGATTCAAAGATGCTATTTCTTTGGAACAGTAATCGCAAGCATAATTAATATAATTATAAAAATAACAATAACAAGCACATTATAAATAATGAATAATACACACCTTAGCAAAAAAAGTACAAAGCAGATATATCGCAATCAATTTGAACTTGCGCTGTTAGTTAGGTAGTAGTTCGCAGTTTCTGTTTTCTTACCAGCACGAGTCCTGATTGACTTTCGCCTTTCTGCTTTTTCGCTAATGTATGAACTCTTCTTAAGAACTATCGACACAGAAATTCCGCAAAGGACTCACCGTAAGACGTGCTGCTGCACAATTATCGCCAGTCTATCGCTACCGTAAAAATCTTCCTGACTGTCCACCAATGCTCAATCTAATTCATCAGGAATTCATCGTCTCCAAACGTGTATCGCGAACACCGCCACCAAACTGCAAGCACCGGTCATGATAGAATGAGCAATAAAGCCCGACACACATTGCAACCAGAAGATCTCGCTAATGAGGCTGTATCGTACGTCGACGACAACTCTGGGTACATGAGCGGCCGATACGTCAGGACAGCGATCATGTAACTTTTCCCCTAGAGCGGAAACGTGAAAAGTGAAAAGTTTCACGTGAACTCGTGATCACTAAATTCGGCGAAGCGTAGAAACGTGAAACTTTTCACGTGAACTTGTTAGCCATGAAATGTGCTTGCGGAAAAGTGAAAATCTAGTGATATGATGAATATATTATGCTACTGCTGTGATTAGATACAGGAAACATAACAGTCCTAAGGTTATAGCGATGTTTTTAAGGTTGTATGTTCTATAGCCGATGGATACAGCTGATTTGGCCGATATTGAAATCATATAGGAACCATGTTTAGTGATTCGTGCTTTTCAAGCATAAAGTTATTTGATTACGTGAACAATGAAAAATGTCACGTGAAATCGATAGAGCGAAAAGTGAAAAGTATAAAGTTCTGCTCGAAGTTACGTGATCGCTGTCCAGATTCCCGTCAGGTTCCGTGATCTTGCCGTTACTAAAAGGCATAACGAGGTAATAGAACATAACCCCGCATATGAAGAACGCGCAAATTGCTACGAGGCGACGGCCGAATTTTGCGTTTCTGATTATGGATACTCCTATCATTGTAATGACATGTATTTATCCAATTGTCTTCGATATGCTCAATGATTCTGCGAATGTCATCTTCACGGCAAATGAGCGAGAAGTATTTGATGACGGTCATGAGACAGAAATTCAACGGTCCCGAGAACTTCAAATTATTGTACATGTCTTTGACTTTGAATGCAGCGAACATGACTCAGGGGATAATGAAGCCAATCATACTAGTGCAAGTTACGTTTATCAACGTGTACACGAATCTTTCTGCCCACGAAATTTCGGCTGATTGCGGCCAGGTGCTAATTGGCTTCAGTATCCAGCGATTCAGCTGGATACCCAGCAGCATGTCCTCCTTGTCATCATAGACGGTAGCGATGGGATTCGATTTCCGAGATATAGATGTTTTGCGCGATCTCGTCAGGTATTGACGAGATCGCGCAAAAGCTTGGACGCAGAATGCCTAATGTCGCGACTGTGCTGTAACTAGTTTCTTCAAGTTACTATTCCGCAATAACTTCTCTACCAGGATAGAAACGATAAAACGCTCGATAGGACGAAAAGGGGAAACTTTGTAGACGTAGCGACTTCCGTAAGAGAAAATCTATGCCGTTTCTACGTATCTCGTTTCTGGTGCATTATTTTCTGCTCATAAGTTATGACTGCACGGTTCAAGTTCTTTGTGGAAGTATTTTCTGCGACTAATCGGAAAGGATTGCAAGAATTTCCTTATTTGCCTATATTACGCGATATGTTATATGGTGATGTACAATTTTGTACATTACCGTATAATATACACGTGTGTAAATATATATGTTATACATAAAATACATGTGATTAAAATGGTCTACCCGTTGTATTTTTCTCTAGGAAATCGTATTTAAATATAATATATAGAAAGTACTTTTTTATGCATATATAATATTAATATATATATTAATTATATGTTAATATGTAATATTAATATATTAATATATAGTATTAATATACATAATAATATACATAATATTAATATATAATATTACATACATACTTAACGTTAATATATTAATATATATGAAACATATATTAATTCTTTTTGATGTTGTTTTACATCTTGAAGCATTAATTATTTATTAATGTACAAGTTCATAACAACAATAAAAATGACATATCTTGTACAAGTATTAGATGATATTATGCGGTAGCGCTACAAAGTGACAAGTTCTATTTGAGAATAATATCGGCTCACAGATCAAACAGTGCAATGATATTATATACTTCTACTATTTAATTCAAAATATAATTATAATTTGATAATGAGACATACTAATACGTTATGTTACTGCTGAACCTTGTAAAACTTTGCATTGTTCGACGAGTAATATTTTTTAATGAAGCTATATCTCCTCAAGTCGTAAATGTTCGTAGCATGTTCAAATAAGCAACAGAAGACTTTATAACCTGTTTTTGGAGATAATATTACGTTACTATAATAGATTACGCTTTAACCCTTATGGCAATACTCAAAATTTTCACGTTAGATGAAAATCCCGGCCTACCCAAGTACTCATTATAAAATTTCATTGTATAAGTAGAAAAAGGGTCGCTATTAGTCCTTCTAACATACTTTCTCGATTTCTTCTAACAACAGTAAGTATGACAATCAATGTTTCTCCCCTTTCCCTTATATATTTGATGCGGCATAGTGGAATAAAAGTAACTTTTGGGACTAATGATTGTTTTTAATTTATTCGTTATAAATTGCTTTATAGCACACTCGTGCGAATCTTTATAATTGAAATTTGAAATAATGCGGATCCACGACATTTGTAAAAAATATAAAATTTCTAGAATATTATTAACTATAGTTATTCTTACGAACTTACGTAAAATTGTTGAAATTATGTGGATTCGGGATCAATTGGCGATATTTCAGTAGAAATTACTGAAATTTTTTAAAAGAAATTGGGATACTCGGGTATCCGGGTATTGACATAATGGTTAATCAACAGTATTTATTTCAATTGCCCAATGTGCTGATATTTTATTTTATTATAAAAATAATTTTATAACTTTGCATTTTTATTATTTTGTACTTTGAAATATTTTAAACATATGAAAATTATATACATGTGCAACAAAATATTAATATCAGCTGTGGTATTATAATCATAATATGTCGATATAATACTCACGTCTCCGAAGCTACTAATGGACAAATCAATAATATTTCCAGCGGTAAGTTTGGTGGTCGCGTTGGACATACAAATGATCAAGATAATGGCGTGACTTTTTCTCCCAGGTAGCCGATACCAATCGATCATGTATGAGCTCTCACGTACTTTCATGGTCTGTTACAAGATTTGTTTTACAATTCTGTTATAGGCAACTATCGTTTTAGATTATCAATAGAAAATTGTTTTAGATTATTTCATATCTATTATTTGAAAAAAAAATAGTGCAATAGTACGGAAGTACCTGTTCCGCTAAAAGTTCTCCTATATAACAAAATATGAATATATTGAATGTAAGCGAGATGAGTAATATCAAATACGTTAGGCCACTAACAGGTTGCTTAAAATCCCATTCCTACAATAATATAAAATATATGTTTAATATGAAATATATGTAATTCGTAAATAGATAACAAGAAAAATATTAGTGGTGCCAATTATCTAGGTATCTTGATATTTAGGTACTATTTAAATATCCAAGTTTTTAGGGTATTTCCGATTGTTTCTCAAATTTACTTGAGTACACAAATTCCGTAATTACAAATATTTTAATATAATTCCTTAGAAAAATGAGAGATAAATCAATAATAGATGACAAATGGATTCGAGTATTAGTCGCGATTTCTTGTTCAAGTACCCGAGTATTTAGTTATTATTTCATATAATACCCAAGTACGCAGATATAGAAAGCATAGGCAACATTTGCAAATATGCAATTCGTGTTTCTATATACGTTCGTGATATATTATTCAAATACACATGTCACGAATTTACTATCAAATAGAGATATGTACCATCATACAATAATACCCAAGGAAACATATGTTTAACGTACATCCCACAACCTCCACCAAAGATATTTCGTGCAGTAATTCTTCGCTTAACGATATGAAGCTAAAACACGGAGAATAAACTTTAAACACATTTCCTCTTTATAAAGCATCTATTCGCAAAGCAAATTCTATTTGCTTAAATGTACAAATTTCCCTTAATATCAAATTTATTATAATAATGAATATTGTCACAAAAAGGATACAATGTATTCTTTTGATACTCCAAAATTATAGACGAATGGTATGTGCACAACATTTACTTACTTCAAAATGCGTACATGCAGTTGAATAATATTCGCCAATCTCTCATCTACAGTGTCATTGACACCTTCTCGGCCGTCAACCAGATGGTTCAACCAGGACATTAGCACCTGCAGTTGACCGCAAGCGTGCATTGCGAGGAGAGCTACCAGGCTACATGCCGCCACCGTGATATTATGGGTGACAATACCACATAGCAGATGGATGAAACCGAAAATCTCGTTGATGGGACTTCGTCGGGTGTCAATAATTACTTTGGGGACCGGGAACACCAGTCGTCGATATGTCAGATTGCTGTTCTCGTCAACGATCTTGGCACGAGTTAGCGGCACAGCCACGTAATAGAACAGAACGCTGCCATACATAAAGACACAGCAGATGACCACCAACCGGCGACTGTAGTTCGCGTTCTCTAGCATGATTTTCCGATCCTCCGCGTACTTCACGTTTTTCCAGTCAGTTTTAATATATTCGATGCACCTGCGAAAATCGCTCTCGCGTAAAATCAGAGCGCAATATTTTATTACTGCCATCATAAAGAAACTGAGCGCGCTGCCGAGCTTTAGTTGATTGTAAAAATCCTTGATTTCCAATACGATGTACATGCTGCAGGGGATTAGGATCATAGCCATTATCGTGTAGCAGATTAAGTTCAGTAGCCTGCACCACAATGTTTCGATCCAAGAATGATTTACGGACAAGGGCCACGTACCGATTAATTTCTGAATCCACATATTCAGTTGTATGCTGACCAGCAGGTCGTTTTTGTAATATTGGTTATGAAGCCGTTTACGGGCACCAGAATAATGGGATAAACTTCCCATTGTCGCGGTACGAATGGTCGATGCGCACTGATAGTCGCTCGAACTCGCGCTTGTCCTCGCCGCGATGTACGCTTGCGCTACTTTCCAGATTTTCCATGAAGAAAAGAATAGTCAACGCAGAACAAGCTCGCGAGCAGCGAGCATTTGTCGGGGAAGTTTGCGTAATTACTTGAGTGAAGGGTACATGAAGTTACGGGAGTCGTTTCCTGGTTGTCTTATAATAGCTACCGCGTTGGCAAACACGAAGGAGACGACTAAAAAATAAGGATATATTTAGATCGCATCGTGGTTTAGAAAATCATGAAAGAAGAAAAAATTATGCGTAGTCTGGCGACTGCGCGATTTGGTCTTTATAGCATGTTTAGTTAAAAGGTGAATATCTTTCAAAGTTGAAATGTGAAAATGAATTCGAAGTGGTTAGTGGAATAGGCTGTAACAATATGATTTAAAGTTTATGACATTTAATACGTAATTAAATTTGGAGTTATGTTTCTTACTCGTAAACAGATATGGATGTTCGGTATATAAGGTGAGAATATGTGAGACGTAAAGACTGAATATGCAATATCTACGCACGACTGAATTGAATTTGCATAAATGATATTTACAATCTTAAATGAAGAATATTATCCTATAAAACATAATAAAAATTCTTAGTACAAATCGTAGTTTGTATAATTATACAGTAACTGTTCGGAGCAAATTTAAATATGCCATCGCGGTTCTGACGACCTAAAAATTAAATATAAGTTACATATATAAAAGATATTGATACTTCAATGTTATTTTGATTGAATACTTTGTTATAAAATTTTTATTCACTATGATTATGTTGCAGACGAGAAATATAGTTACTTACTGCACTGAAACTGCTGAAAGAGAGATCCATAAATTTACTCGCTCTGATCTTTGTAGGATATTTAGCCATGGCAATCACAAAGATGAGGTAACGAGCTCTTTTACTAGGTAAGCAATACCAATCGACGGTGCAGCAAGTAGTGCTTAATTTGTCTCCCTGTTACGTAAAATCCAACAAAATTTTAATAAATCTCATCTCTCTGGATTAATAAATCTCATTTCATATTATTTTTATTATTCTTCAGTTGTTTATATTTTTCCGGCTACGTGTTTGACACATTTGCAAACTTACGTATCCTACCTGAGTATTTAAAATCTCTCCAATGTAACATAATATAAAAATATTGAAGGTAAATGATACTAGCATTATAGCATACGTCAACGTAGATATTGCATCATTTCGTTCCCATCCCTAAAATGCGTTATTATTTCAGAAAAATATTCATAAAAATATGTAAGGCATATACATTGCGAAATATTCTTTCTGCGTACCGTTATCACGTAATATCCTAAAAGACATAATATTAAAGTGCATCCGATAATTTCAATAAAACACATTTCTCCTACGATATCTTGTATTTGATGCAAAAATCTATAATTATAATACAATTTTATAAATTTCAATGTAATTTTTGTTGCTTTAAAATTTAATAAAATCGTAATAAAATGTAAAAAATAAATAGTATTTCAACTAAATAAGTAGGAGTTGTGTAATAAGTTATGTAAAACATGTCGTTGAAATTAATAAAATATTTTCATTAAGAAAAAATCTATAATATTTTCAGCTACTCACTTACGTATCCTAACATGATGTACGATGAACGTCGCTAATCTCCGAGTGGCGACGTGATCCTTCCACAACTGATTGTCACTTGCCAAATTCTCCAGCCAGCTGATCAGCATCTCGAGTTGTCCGCAGACATGCATGGTGAGCAATGCAGTAACCCCACAGACACTCGCTGTTATGATGTAAATGACGACACCGGCCATACATTGAACAGAGAACACGATTTCATAGGCCGGGCTCTGCTGCGGATCGAAGAAAATATAATAATTTCCTTGCACCAAAGGTCTAATCGTGAGGTTCTCGTTGACGACGATGTTGCCCCTGGCTATTGGCTGAATCAAACGGTAAGTGAAGCCGCTGGTGAACAAGAACAACGTGGCAGTGATGAGAATGATACGTCCTGTTTTAGCCTTGTCTAGCATAATCTTGCGGTCGTTTACATCCTTAACGTTTCGCCAATCCTCTTCAATGTGCCTCAAGCATTCCCTGATACGATCCTCCTGGTAGATCAGCGAACAGTACATAAAAGACACCATGGTGTAAAAACAAAATGCGCCGAACATCTTCAGCCTGGCCTTGAACGTATCCATAATCAGTAACATGTATAGCACCCACGGTATCAGATTAAAGGACAGTAGGAAACAACACACGCAGTTAAGAAATCTCTTCATCAGTCTCTTCCGGTGCCAGGATCGCTCTAAGATTGGCCACACGCCGATCAGTCCCAGAATCATTCGGTGAATCTGCACGGTATATCTGATATCATCCTTGTAATTAGAGTTGCGTAGATCTGCGTGCTTAATCATCGCGTTTGGGGAGCGAATGTGATGAAACCGAATTTTATGAACAGAAACTTACTCACGAAACGGTCGCGCAAGTGCAACTAACAGACGAAACGTCTATAAAACTTGCCGATTGCATTATGTACACTCTTGCGTCTGCGTGAATGGCTCACCCACCGCAGCTCAGTTACAGCACAAGTAAAAGTTTGGTACCATTGATTGCACGTGCGGTTGTAATTTTTTGTAAGATAATTACAGGGTAAGATCGATTCGCGCAGGATAGTCTTTAGCACTTTTACGAGTGGGTCAGTTTGTGTCAGATCATAGAGATATATCGAGTACAACAAAGTTATAGTACGCGAATTGTTAATGAAGTGAATGACAAACTTAATGCCGGAATATTTAATTTCATAAAATAATTTATTCCAAATAAATTAGCAAGTAATGGCTTGGTAAAAATGTCACAAAAATGTTCAAAATCTAGATTCTCGCGAAATATCTTATTATTGATAAAGGTGATAAACTAAAATTGGGATAGAGAATATTTGTTATATTATTCATTTGTGCTGAGTATCGGTTGCGGATTAGTGTTTGAATATAATCTTATTAAATAAACCATATATGAAAGATATCGTCTCACCGAAGATGCAGATCAAATAAATTTTCTGAGCAAATTAAAGTATGCCATTGATGTTCTGACAATCTACGAAAAAACAAAACGAACTGTCAATTTGCTACTGTCAAACGAGAAAAATAGATTTCTATACTCACATTACTGAACGTGGGTAAAGACATTTCTATCAGCCTGCCTGCTGAGATTTTCATGGGAATATTGGAAATCGCTATTATCAGGATTAAACCGCGAGCCTTCTTATACGGAAGACGATACCAACTCATCGTAGATATCACCAACGCAACTTCTATACTCTGTTACGATT